CATCAGATGTAGTCCTCAGCTCATCTGTAGTCCTGGTCCTGGTCGTTGTTTTGTCAATCAGTCAAGTTGGTAGTCCTACATTTACCTTGTACATGTTTCAGATGACGATGCCCTCATCAGCTGTAGTCCTCAGCTCATCTGTAGTCCTGGTCCTGGTCGTTGTTTTGTCAATCAGTCAAGTTGGTTGTCCTACATTTACCTTGTACATGTTTCAGATGACGATGCCCTCATCAGCTGTAGTCCTCAGCTCATCTGTAGTCCTGGTCCTGGTCGTTGTTTTGTCAATCAGTCAAGTTGGTAGTCCTACATTTACCTTGTACATGTTTCAGATGACGATGCCCTCATCAGCTGTAGTCCTCAGCTCATCTGTAGTCCTGGTCCTGGTCGTTGTTTTGTCAATCAGTCAAGTTGGTTGTCCTACATTTACCTTGTACATGTTTCAGATGACGATGCCCTCATCAGCTGTAGTCCTCAGCTCATCTGTAGTCCTGGTCCTGGTCGTTGTGTTGTCAATCAGTCAAGTTGGTTGTCCTACATTTACCTTGTACATGTTTCAGATGACGATGGCCTCATCAGCTGTAGTCCTCAGCTCATCTGTAGTCCTGGTCCTGGTCGTTGTTTTGTCAATCAGTCAAGTTGGTTGTCCTACATTTACCTTGTACATGTTTCAGATGACGATGCCCTCATCAGCTGTAGTCCTCAGCTCATCTGTAGTGCTGGTCCTGGTCGTTGTTTTGTCAATCAGTCAAGTTGGTAGTCCTACATTTACCTTGTACATGTTTCAGATGACGATGCCCTCATCAGATGTAGTCCTCAGCTCATCTGTAGTCCTGGTCCTGGTCGTTGTTTTGTCAATCAGTCAAGTTGGTAGTCCTACATTTACCTTGTACATGTTTCAGATGACGATGCCCTCATCAGCTGTAGTCCTCAGCTCATCTGTAGTCCTGGTCCTGGTCGTTGTTTTGTCAATCAGTCAAGTTGGTAGTCCTACATTTACCTTGTACATGTTTCAGATGACGATGCCCTCATCAGCTGTAGTCCTCAGCTCATCTGTAGTCCTGGTCCTGGTCGTTGTTTTGTCAATCAGTCAAGTTGGTAGTCCTACATTTACCTTGTACATGTTTCAGATGACGATGCCCTCATCAGCTGTAGTCCTCAGCTCATCTGTGTAGTCCTGGTCCTGGTCGTTGTTTTGTCAATCAGTCAAGTTGGTAGTCCTACATTTACCTTGTACATGTTTCAGATGACGATGCCCTCATCAGCTGTAGTCCTCAGCTCATCTGTAGTCCTGGTCCTGGTCGTTGTGTTGTCAATCAGTCAAGTTGGTAGTCCTACATTTACCTTGTACATGTTTCAGATGACGATGCCCTCATCAGCTGTAGTCCTCAGCTCATCTGTAGTCCTGGTCCTGGTCGTTGTTTTGTCAATCAGTCAAGTTGGTAGTCCTACATTTACCTTGTACATGTTTCAGATGACGATGCCCTCATCAGCTGTAGTCCTCAGCTCATCTGTAGTCCTGGTCCTGGTCGTTGTTTTGTCAATCAGTCAAGTTGGTAGTCCTACATTTACCTTGTACATGTTTCAGATGACGATGCCCTCATCAGCTGTAGTCCTCAGCTCATCTGTAGTCCTGGTCCTGGTCGTTGTTTTGTCAATCAGTCAAGTTGGTAGTCCTACATTTACCTTGAACATGTTTCAGATAACGATGCCCTCATCAGCTGTAGTCCTCAGCTCATCTGTAGTCCTGGTCCTGGTCGTTGTTTTGTCAATCAGTCAAGTTGGTAGTCCTACATTTACCTTGTACATGTTTCAGATGACGATGCCCTCATCAGCTGTAGTCCTCAGCTCATCTGTAGTCCTGGTCCTGGTCGTTGTTTTGTCAATCAGTCAAGTTGGTTGTCCTACATTTACCTTGTACATGTTTCAGATGACGATGCCCTCATCAGCTGTAGTCCTCAGCTCATCTGTAGTCCTGGTCCTGTTCGTTGTTTTGTCAATCAGTCAAGTTGGTAGTCCTACATTTACCTTGTACATGTTTCAGATGACGATGCCCTCATCAGCTGTAGTCCTCAGCTCATCTGTAGTCCTGGTCCTGGTCGTTGTTTTGTCAATCAGTCAAGTTGGTTGTCCTACATTTACCTTGTACATGTTTCAGATGACGATGCCCTCATCAGCTGTAGTCCTCAGCTCATCTGTAGTCCTGGTCCTGGTCGTTGTGTTGTCAATCAGTCAAGTTGGTTGTCCTACATTTACCTTGCACATGTTTCAGATGACGATGCCCTCATCAGCTGTAGTCCTCAGCTCATCTGTAGTCCTGGTCCTGGTCGTTGTTTTGTCAATCAGTCAAGTTGGTTGTCCTACATTTACCTTGTACATGTTTCAGATGACGATGCCCTCATCAGCTGTAGTCCTCAGCTCATCTGTAGTGCTGGTCCTGGTCGTTGTTTTGTCAATCAGTCAAGTTGGTAGTCCTACATTTACCTTGTACATGTTTCAGATGACGATGCCCTCATCAGATGTAGTCCTCAGCTCATCTGTAGTCCTGGTCCTGGTCGTTGTTTTGTCAATCAGTCAAGTTGGTAGTCCTACATTTACCTTGTACATGTTTCAGATGACGATGCCCTCATCAGCTGTAGTCCTCAGCTCATCTGTAGTCCTGGTCCTGGTCGTTGTTTTGTCAATCAGTCAAGTTGGTAGTCCTACATTTACCTTGTACATGTTTCAGATGACGATGCCCTCATCAGCTGTAGTCCTCAGCTCATCTGTAGTCCTGGTCCTGGTCGTTGTTTTGTCAATCAGTCAAGTTGGTAGTACTACATTTACCTTGTACATGTTTCAGATGACGATGCCCTCATCAGCTGTAGTCCTCAGCTCATCTGTAGTCCTGGTCCTGGTCGTTGTTTTGCCAATCAGTCAAGTTGCTAGTCCTACATTTACCTTGTACATGTTTCAGATGACGATGCCCTCATCAACTATAGTCCTCAGCTCATCTGTAGTGCTGGTCCTGGTCGTTGTTTTTCCAATCAGTCAAGTTGGTAGTCCTACATTTACCTTGTACATGTTTCAGATGACGATGCCCTCATCAACTATAGTCCTCAGCTCATCTGTAGTGCTGGTCCTGGTCGTTGTTTTGCCAATCAGTCAAGTTGGTAGTCCTACATTTACCTTGTACATGTTTCAGATGACGATGCCCTCATCAACTATAGTCCTCAGCTCATCTGTAGTGCTGGTCCTGGTCGTTGTTTTGTCAATCAGTCAAGTTGGTAGTCCTACATTTACCTTGTACATGTTTCAGATGACGATGCCCTCATCAGCTATAGTCCTCAGCTCATCTGTAGTGCTGGTCCTGGTCGTTGTTTTGTCAATCAGTCAAGTTGCTAGTCCTACATTTACCTTGTACATGTTTCAGATGACGATGCCCTCATCAGCTGTAGTCCTCAGCTCATCTGTAGTGCTGGTCCTGGTCGTTGTTTTGTCAGTCAAGTTGGTAGTCCTACATTTACCTTGTACATGTTTCAGATGACGATGCCCTCATCAGCTGTAGTCCTCAGCTCATCTGTAGTCCTGGTCCTGGTCGTTGTTTTGTCAATCAGTCAAGTTGGTTGTCCTACATTTACCTTGTACATGTTTCAGATGACAATGCCCTCATCAGCTGTAGTCCTCAGCTCATCTGTAGTCCTGGTCCTGGTCGTTGTTTTGTCAATCAGTCAAGTTGGTTGTCCTACATTTACCTTGTACATGTTTCAGATGACGATGCCCTCATCAGATGTAGTCCTCAGCTCATCTGTAGTCCTGGTCCTGGTCGTTGTTTTGTCAATCAGTCAAGTTGGTAGTCCTACATTTACCTTGTACATGTTTCAGATGACGATGCCCTCATCAGATGTAGTCCTCAGCTCATCTGTAGTCCTGGTCCTGGTCGTTGTTTTGTCAATCAGTCAAGTTGGTTGTCCTACATTTACCTTGTACATGTTTCAGATGACGATGCCCTCATCAGCTGTAGTCCTCAGCTCATATGTAGTCCTGGTCCTGGTCGTTGTGTTGTCAATCAGTCAAGTTGGTAGTCCTACATTTACCTTGTACATGTTTCAGATGACGATGCCCTCATCAGCTGTAGTCCTCAGCTCATCTGTAGTCCTGGTCCTGGTCGTTGTTTTGTCAATCAGTCAAGTTGGTAGTCCTACATTTACCTTGTACATGTTTCAGATGACGATGCCCTCATCAGCTGTAGTCCTCAGCTCATCTGTAGTCCTGGTCCTGGTCGTTGTGTTGTCAATCAGTCAAGTTGGTAGTCCTACATTTACCTTGTACATGTTTCAGATGACGATGCCCTCATCAGCTGTAGTCCTCAGCTCATCTGTAGTCCTGGTCCTAGTCGTTGTTTTGTCAATCAGTCAAGTTGGTTGTCCTACATTTACCTTGTACATGTTTCAGATGACGATGCCCTCATCAGATGTAGTCCTCAGCTCATCTGTAGTCCTGGTCCTGGTCGTTGTTTTGTCAATCAGTCAAGTTGGTTGTCCTACATTTACCTTGTACATGTTTCAGATGACGATGCCCTCATCAGCTGTAGTCCTCAGCTCATCTGTAGTCCTGGTCCTGGTCGTTGTTTTGTCAATCAGTCAAGTTGGTAGTCCTACATTTACCTTGTACATGTTTCAGATGATGATGCCCTCATCAGCTGTAGTCCTCAGCTCATCTGTAGTGCTGGTCCTGGTCGTTGTGTTGTCAATCAGTCAAGTTGGTAGTCCTACATTTACCTTGTACATGTTTCAGATGACGATGCCCTCATCAGCTGTAGTCCTCAGCTCATTTGTAGTCCTGGTCCTGGTCGTTGTTTTGTCAATCAGTCAAGTTGGTAGTCCTACATTACCTTGTACATGTTTCAGATGACGATGCCCTCATCAGCTGTAGTCCTCAGCTCATCTGTAGTCCTGGTCCTGGTCGTTGTTTTGTCAATCAGTCAAGTTGGTAGTCCTACATTTACCTTGTACATGTTTCAGATGACGATGCCCTCATCAGCTGTAGTCCTCAGCTCATCTGTAGTGCTGGTCCTGGTCGTTGTTTTGTCAATCAGTCACGTCACACAGTCCCTGCCCTACTCAGGGTAAGTAAATGTAGAGTAATATTTTGCCAAAGTGTTAGTTTAGTTCTGGTGGTAAGCAATAAAATTATTGTTGCACTCGAATAAGTGCACTGAAATCCCTCTAAAGTTTATATCTGTCCTACCTGAGAAACGATTAACTTTTAAATGTATAGTTTTTTGCCACCAATGAGGATATTTTTAACTGTTTTCCAACTATTCATAGTTAGCTAGGTACAATGCATTCCATCCCCATGTTAAAGTTGTAGCCAGGTTTTTAATAAAATTTGTCTTAGTTGATGTGAGCCACCTACAGATTGCGCTGATTTAAATTACTGATTTCTGCCGATTACATGATGGTTTTTACCAAGTCAAACTGATGGAATGACTTATTATGACCTATAGCAACTTTTGTGACCCAGTAACTATGTCAGTAATAAAAAAATAAGGTACAAAATAGAGTTTTAGACACTAGCGCAATCTGTGACTGGCTCAAACAACTACATTCTTTTTTAGTAAAAAATTGGCTACAGCCGATCCATATAGATGGGATGTCTTCAATGGTACAATATTTTTATATTAATTACACAAATTTGCTATTGTTCTAGTAATTAAATGTTGAGAATTTTTCACGTTTCCAACAAACCATAAGGGCTCTAATGTGGCACAAATGTCTTGATGCGATAAATGCAATTTGCTTAAGCGGTTACAGACTAATTAGAGGCATTCTAGATAACTGAGACTGAGTTATATTGTTGCTTGAGCTATCCAACAGTTCTATTTATTTGCTTAAGGAAACATTTCGTAATACAAGTGTTTAAAACGTATCAAAAAAATTACAAATTATCCAACTAGTAAATAATACAGGTTCAGAAATATCTCTCTCAAAAATATAACGCGACATACTAAACATACACAAATTTTACTGCACATCTACATACTTATTTTAACTGTACATTTCAAACTATAACTTTTTAAATCCACAGTTTTATCACGCACAAATGAACTGTGTATCTTTATCCACTTCACGTTACTCAGCCGATATAACCACAGTCGAGTAACATTTCAGATTCGGTAATAAAATACGAATGTAGGTAAATCCCCGAGTATTACGGGAACCTCTCGCTCAATCTGTAGGTATTAGACTGTGATTGATTGAGCGAGCGGACGATATTATGAACTGTCTCCAACTCACGTTTACTTACCCAAACATATTCGTGGAATGAGATGTTTTTGCTAAATTGCGTCATAATTTTGTTATTTGGCGTTAATATGTTTACTGTTCAAACCTAGCTGGATATGTTTGTTTGTCAATAGACCATACTGAACTTCAGTTTCTTGAATTAAATTTCTTAACTGTGTTCATGGATGACAGTATAACATAGTTATCCATTTTGAGAGAGAAATTCTATGTACGATACTTGTTGCCGTTTTTTTCGTTTATTGGGATCATAAACAAGGAATAAAACAATAAAATGCCTACTCATAAACAATAAATAGGGTAAAATACAGTAATAGGTTTTATGTTCTTTCATCACTAACATTAGGTCGTTTAACTTGAGGTTCCAGAGTTTTTTGGATGATTTTTTAGCTAACGATTGTTATATCTAAATTGTTTTACATGTACGAAGGGGTCTCGAAAACGGGTAGTGTGAAGATTTCCTTCACACGTTATAATATTACTCTATTAATTTTTCCATATTAACTTGAAATAATAGTGGTGAAAACATGGTCTAAGAGAAGTATGTATGCTAAATTAACAATAAACCTACTTTCAATTATAAAAAACAGCATTCAACAGATTTATAAAATAACCCTACACATGTTTTCGAAAAAAGGAATGTGTATACATTTAGAACAATGTAAAACTGATAACATTGAAACCAGATTATTCTCCTTAGCCCATTAAGATATACAAATACACTGTAAAAATATTGATTCGTTAGAGCAGCACCCATGTGTAACAAGAAATGTAAAATTGGCCAAATTATGTCAAGTCTTATCAGAAAAGATTTATAAGACTTATCAGAAAGTCCAGTGATCCTGCGACTCTAGCCTGAATCTCTAATGTACAAGGCTAACGACCTCATCAGATCACTAACATCACTAACATTAGACATTAGCCTCACCTACTGTAAGTACGACCATAATGTACACAAAGATAACGATGGATACAACGTCAATCAGTTCTACAGGTCTACACAACAAATATTGGCCTGTATCACTAATGATGTACATAGAGAATATTCCAGTTGTTGCAAGAGACAACGATGCAGCGTTGCATAAACCAATTACTTATGCTTTGTTGTCTGTTTGACCTTTGTTGCGACAATTAATTAATAAGTGCATCGAGCAGAAGGTGTGCATGTTGCAATATATAAGGTTATGTGTAGTTGAAATATTTACAGGTTTGCTGTAGTTTTGGAAGTTGCATGTTTTTCCTTTTTGGAGGAGCTATTGTTTTTCGAATTTTTTCAATTGCACAACCAAATTTTGATCGCCAAAATTACTTGATTTTAAGGTGGTACATTGTGCAAAGGTTTTCCAAAAACTTCCCAAAAATGTGCGTGGCAAGAGTAAAATCTGTTTAACCCTCCTTATCCTTTTAACCTTAATTAATTCAATTATTTGTTGTCTCTTTTATAAGAAAATTGGGGTAGACTTCCGTATCTGTTGTCGAAAAGAACCGAGTGGGAATATCGATCGATATATCGATTATTCCATTCGATATATCGAATAATTTTTCATTTGGTTGTTTTTGAGATCAGATACGGAAGTGTACCACCAACGAATACTACAAAACCACACATTTTGTAAAATATTGTTATTTTAATTTCTTTATGTCGTAGCTAAGTGGCACATTGACAAGAGAGGCAATATTGCATTGTACTGAAATAACGCTTTTGAAAAAAGCAGTGCCAACCCATATGTGTTGCAACGGGATTCGAACCAATCCCTCCCGTACTGAAGTCCAAGATTACACACACCCAAATACACAAATTTACGGTTCCATCAAATTATTTCTAAGCTCACTACTACTTCTTACCTATATATTTAGAGATTTTAATGTATTTTGAGCATGTGTTCAAATTAGAGATCATGTAATCATCAATTTTGTATTTTCTAGGCACAAGGGATACCTGACAGATATTGAGAATGACGCAGATCCAGAACTGATGTTGGAAATTCTAACCCGACTGGGACAGACTATCATGAGAGCTAACGATCTTGAAAAGTGAGTATATACTCGTATATTTACTGAGTATGTTCTCATAAATGAGAGGAGTTTTGTAGTACCGCGTCTTCAGTCAGTAAAGCGGAAAAATTCCAGTAAATGGTAATAGGTCAGGTTAAGAAGACAACGAAGAATTTTCTTTTTGTCAAAAAATGTTTTGATTGAATATTTGTTTAAATTTTTAAGTTTTTCCTACCAATATTTGTGTAACCCTTAATAGGTGGCAAGTAGAAGTTATTTAAAAAAATCTATGGATAACCCAAAGGTGAGTAAATAAAGTTCTAAAAGGAAACAGAGGAAGTAAGGCAATCTTTTTCACAAAACCCCAATGGATAAGCAATAATATTTTTTACCAGTCGACCAAATGCTTTGTATTAATTCAATATCCATTATTTAATGGTTTCTTTCAATTTTACATGATAACCTATGCCTAAATGACCAATGATGTTTTGGAGCCTAAGTGTATTTACAAACGGTTTTATGTACGTTTACAATTTAAATATTAATTTCTTTGGTTCACACAACTACCTTAATTAGAAACGCGACCTTGAACCCTTGGATAAACGCATTGTTTTGCGGCAAGCAGTTTAGGTAGAATTAGTCTTAGATTGAATTTTCAACTAAAAAATATAAATCTAAAATTACTTAGAAATTAGCTTAAAGAAGCCTAATACTATGCTCCAAAAATGTTCCAAATTTTATTTTGTCTCTAAAGTGTATCTCTCAACAACATTTCTCCTTAATAATGTGCACTGTTGATAAGTTTCCTTAAGGACTCGTGGTTTCTTACATCTTACGCTACAATGGTTCTTTCTTTACGAGAATATTAGTTGTGTGTGATTTTTACCATTTTATCATCAAGACAAAGTGTAATGTTACAATTGGAATGGAAAATGCAGTAATTGGAAGCAGTTTCTAGGGAATGTTAAAAATGGAAAAATAATGAGCTGTTATTCTACTGTTTATTTTGTATGACGTCTCTTGCATTCATAGCAGAATGTATATCAAAGGTTTTAACTGAATAAATGTAAAGATATGAAGGTCTGTATATGTAAATGAAGGGTATTTATACACAGTTGATTGATTGTATTTGCATTAAAATAATAGAAATATATTTAGTGAATGATGTATCAGTATTTATAAATATGATTTCGATATTTATAAATTCTAATACATGACATACTTTTACTAAACACCTCACAACTGCAATATGTAAGCTACAGGGTGTTTTAAAACGTAGCCCAAATTACCGAAATGCCGAGAGATACTGTTTAAGGACAAAACGTGCTTATAATTTGGTATTTCTGTTTTTTTTTTGTTTTTTTTATGGAAGTTTCTCTAAATATTTCCAATTATTTTAGGGTAAATTTTACATTGTAATTTACTTTTTAAAATGCCAAGAACACAAACAATGGTTTTTACACTCTTTTTTAATACTTCCGGATGGAAACTAAACCCAAACTTGCCTTCGGTTAATCCAAAATAATGCCAAATTTAAGAGGGGATATATTTACCATCATTTCTAATTGATGATAAAACAACCAAACATCCTTTGAAAAATAAATTGGCACAAATTAACTAAAACTGCCCATAAAAACTGTCAAAATTCTAAACTAAACATTAACTCAAACCTTGCACTTATTTGAGCCATTATAACAAAGTAGATCCAACATACAGAAATATTTAGTCATATACGAGGTGCATATGGTAATAAAATACATAAATACTGACTGCACTGTGCAATGGAGGTTCACTGTCACATGCTAATGAACTAATAAAACAACAGATTAATTGTCGAGTAATGGGGCATTACTCATGGTTTATATCTTTCACTAATCCTATTTTATCTGATTCGAGTATTGCTGTGAAGTTGACTGAATTTTGTATTTAGATGTTATTTTACATACTGTGATTCAGTGAATTTGTGATTTTTTTAGTTTTTCTCTACTAAATAGGCCTACAATAGCACAATAATTTTAAATATTTTTAAAATAAAAATTAAGTTTTAGATTTGGATTTATAAATAAGTCAATAACTAAAGCGAATGAAGCAATAATTTAAATGACTTGACTGAAATTTGTGTAATGATTTGTAGTTTTTTGGAACCAGTTTACAAATATCCATTTTTAATGTGGTTTGGTCCTAAAAATCACTTTCAGTCATGTTATCACATCACAAATTAGTGTACATAGTTTAATTTTTTTCATGTGAACAACGTAAGCAATGGGACATGATGATGAGGAACTTATCAACTAATATTGTTTGTTCTATAATATATTTAATTTAGAATATTTTTATTCGATTTGGTAATCAATTTATACTTACAAAAGGTTTACGGATAAATGGACAGGATCCACTTAAAACCCTACTATTTTCTCAGAATCCAACTTGGGCACTTTCCTATTACTAGGCGCTCACTGATATATCCTATCATCTACCCAGCTCAATTGATTCAAAATATGAGGCGCAAAGGAGGATATACCTTCCCAAGTATAGCCTGTCATTTAGAACAAATCCCTAAATTTTCACTGTAATCACATGTACAATAATTAGGTAATGCATAAAGGAAAGAAATATATTATGTATTCGAGCACATATAGATTGTTCAAATAACTATACTTGAAGTAAACGTGTTATAGTATTACCTATGTAAATATAATGTCTAAAAGACGTCTACTTTACACATTAACAACATACACGAACAGATTTCTAACTCATAAAAGTAGGTCGTAAAAAATATAAAACTCAAGATTAAACAAACTTGTAACTACTTTGTCCACTATACGCAAGGGTCCAGTAGCAGTATGAAACTTGCAACTTTTATCGTAGAAAGTTGTAAAATTCTAAACAACTTGCTAATTTCCAGGTCATCAAGTCTTATGAACATTTGACGAGTCACCATTGTTGGTGAAGCACTTTCCTGCTTTTGTCATTGTTGTCTCGTCTACCTTTATAGCTTATCCTAAACAATGTCCACACTCATGCTATACTCGTGGAACTTGCCCTGGAATTTAGCTTGGGGTTTGTATCATTATGTGTATTTAAGAAACACTTTGGCAAACATTTGATTTTTTAAATGTACTGTAGTTTACTCCCTTAATAATTTTCATACTAATCAAACCTCCAATTGTGTGATTTAACACAGTAATCGGCCTACTCAATAGTCAAGACATGAAACGTTTTCACATAATTTCTCAATTTAGTTGATTTTCAAAAGCAATGATTCATCAGTTCTACGTGCTATCAACCGTATGTGCTACAAGTTAGACATTTTAAGAAGTCGAATTAATTATGCATTTTGGATTTCAAGATTATTGTTTACACGTTGAAACTGGGACAAAACTTGTGAACATAACTTGAATTTATTAAATTAGTGCATTCGTGTTAATAGCATCAAGCTGAACTATGTCAAACTATTTCTGTTTCCAATTAAATACCGTTTTATAAGTCACACAATTATTATAAAGTATAAAAAAAGGAAAATAAAGTATAGTTATTATAAAGTATATACTAGTATGTTATTTGTTTATTTGCAAGTAGGAACTTTTAAATTTACACGTAATTCTAGAAGATTTCCCATACGGTATAAGAAATAATCTATTACCAGAGGTCTTATGGTAAGACATAGACCCGGAACCGATTTACTTTTACGTGTTGATGTTCCCATAGGCCAAAAACACCAATCATGTAAACCTACATTTATTCGAACGAGTTTGTAAACCAGCATGATCGGACTGTGGGGACGGGGATTAACAGGGATTTTATGGGGTAAAAAGTTTAGTTTCCCATGTTTGATTCCTCGAAATTAGTTTGCAAATTCTTTCCAAAGTATTTAGTTGAACTTTAAAAAGATTGTGAGTGTTGAAGCGTTGTTGTACGCCTAATGGGTTACAAAAACAAAAAAAAGCATAAATTAAAAATTCTTAATTATTATTTTTTTAACTTAGTTAACTTTATGGGTGTAATAAAAGATTGTACATTTCTATATTTTAAACGTAAAAATGGGGTAAAATTTAAACGGGGAAATATCAAAACCTCGTGAAACTTTACTTAAGTTCCCCGATTTTGCTGGTTTACGATCTCATTCAAGTATATTTAACTCTACACATTCGTGCCGAATTTCGTCAACATCGGACTAAAATTACTTAAGTCGCCATGTTCACGGGTATATCAACGAATAGTGTTTTTGGGCCTATGGGGACGTCAAACTAAAACAAGTAAATCGGTCTCGTGTTTAGCTACTTCCGTATCACCTACGGTAATAGCATCTCTCTATAGGGAAAATTTGTTAAAATCAGAATGTTAAAATGTCGCAATACATGTGACACAAGGAGAACACCGGGTCGAAATATCGTGGCAAAGTTCTGTCTCGAGTCATTACACAAAGACGTGTATCCGCTCCTTACAACAGGTTACCAATATCGTCTTGCTAAACATTATATTAACATATTTATATTACCACCACTAATATCAAACGGATTTCGGGATACGCTTGTAATTTTGTACTTGTCATTTTGTGTCTAACCTTGTGCTAAATACACTTTAAAGTTAACAACACGAAAATGTTCTTACAAAAGTTGTAACAGGACAATTGGTTTGTTATTGTATCAGACGAAATTTGGCGCCACATCTTCATATCGGAGTAAATGCATATTTGCATGTTTTTTTACTGTATAAAATTACCCTCAAACCTTAATTAATTGTGACATTCAACAAGCAAAAAATGTTTATTTTGTGCAAGAATGAGTATAAAATTCAAAAAGCTGCATGAATGAGTGTTTACTTTCCCGAAAACAACTTAATAACGTCCATTAACAATGAACCATGTTTCAAATGTCTTAAATTAAGAGCCTATTTGTTTTTTGCACATTTTTAAAAGCCTCTAGCACCACGCACATTATAAAGTACACCACAATTTTGAACGTCGGTTATATTTTATACAGGGTGTCACGGAACTCCCTACCAATATTTTAGGGCATTGATCCTGGGTAAGAAACGTA